TTAGCAACTGTGATCACTCATCTCTTGCACAAATTCATAAGTGGTATGCATCATCATCTTGATTAATTTCTTTGAATTTTTAGAATTTTAGTGAACTTTTGGACCATTTGTCTGATTGAATCTATTTGAACAATCATGTGGGGTAAACATGTAGTGGGTAGACTGATAAATGCTCTAAGGGGAATGGGTAAGTTGATTTTCATGCTTAGATGTTGTTTCCATGTCAAAATTGTGCAAACATTTGAAGCCCTAGGTGGAAAACGACCGACTGTTCATAATTGTTAGAATCTGCGGCCGTACAAGAAATTGTGCGGTCCACAGAAGTTAAAGATTAGGGCACTATAGTAAGGCATGGTTATGCGGCCGCAATGCCAAATGTGCGGACCGCAGAAATCCCATTGTGGTCGCAGAACAACTTAATCCTTGTGATCAGAGAGTTGTCAATTTGGTGACTCTTAAGTGAGGCCGCAAGGCAAATTGTGCGGATCGCAGAACACTGAGTGCAGCCGCAAAATGACCAATTCTCTATCATCAGAGAGTTGGCATTTTGGTGTCATCCCAAGTGCGACCGCAAAGCAAATTGTGCGGATTGCAACCCAATTCTGTGGACACACTAGAAAATTGTGCGGTCCGCAATGCACATTCTGCGAATCGCACTTCCCTACCCTGCAAGCATGTTTCTACAATGTTTTTCACTGCAATCTCTGGTGTGTACTTGCATTCTTTCTGTGTATGAAATTGAATTGCAACTAACAATCGCCTTTGCTTGGTACAGAACATGGTTCGATCTAGAGGACGAGGTGACACTTCAAAAAGAAGGGGTGACCCTTCCCGGGGACGAAGGAAGAGACCCTTGCCTAGTGCCCAACAACTTAAAGTTAGAAATAAGACAACAGCTGGCAGAGGGAGAGGTATAGACCTTTCCGAGACCAGTTCTTGGAAAGCATCAGAGGGCAACTCAGCCTTTGTACATGAGCAGCTAGCTGTCCAATCAAGGCCACTAGGGAGATATCAGCTCAGGGATGAGCCGTCTTCATCACATAGCACCTCTGAAGGAACGGAGAGTGCCAGTCAGGCTTCCAAGCCTTCCACTACACCTACCCCCTAGGCACCGAAGACTTCAGCTCAGGACATCCCAGATGATGGCCGAGGGGAAGATACTACAATTGTCGGCCTTGAGCGGTCGAAAAAGAAAGAGGTGTGGGAGGACAGGTTCGTCAGTTTGGCTACTTTCTCTAGCTTTCGTGGGTGGTGGCCGGTGAGGTCGATCACTCTTGAGCGACAGTTCCAATTGAAAGATCTAGAAAAGTACAACCTGCAGTTTTGAGGTAGTTCTGAGAGCGCAAGGGATGGATGTGGTTCACCCGGAGCGTGGTGGATGCAAAGGAATACCTTGTCGGGGAGTTCTACGCCAATGTGGCACATATTAAGAAAGGGACAAAGTTAACCAAAGTGAGGAACCTCAAGGTGCGTTTTGACCAGCACACATTGAACACTATTCTGAAATAATTGGTTTGTAATAACTGACAATATTCTCTTCTTTTTCCTTATTCTGTATATATTCTCTCTTCTCTTCTCTCATTATATATATATCTTCTCTTATTGTGTATATTCATTTTGCTTTCAATAGTTTTTGTTTGCAGCTTCTTCATGTTTGATTCTCTTACTAGTTAGTGTTTAATTTAGTAGCTTCTTTTTATATTTTAGTGAATAATAAGCCTTTGATTTTCTTAATGCCACGGTTCTTTCCAAAGGTAGTTTTTGTGTGAACCGGGTGACTCTTCCCAATGATGGATGGTGTGACAACCTTCTTAAGAGATTGAGTCTATTTTTTTTTGTGCTTAGGCAATAATAGTAGTAGTAATGAATAAAAAGACCTAATTAAGTCATGCTCGAAGAGTCAAACATGCTTCACTTGGTACCAACACACTTAACTACGTGCTTATGGTTAGAAACAAGGTTTTTGAAAGAAATAGCTTTGGTTAGTGACTTTGTGACTCTTGTGTTGACTTAACCAATCATCGAGTGGTTTAGTCGAACCATAGTGATTTTCAATCTTGAATATAGTCGTTGTGGTCCCTCGACTCTATCCTCTTTAACAATCCAGTTGCGTAAGGGGTGAGCATTTTTTGTTGCTAGTCCAAGTACTCGTGCGAATGGTCTAGAACTTGCCCCGAATGTGTTCCAAGACGAAATTTTAAGTTTTGCTTGCCTTGAGAAGTGATTGTAGGCTTTCCTTGACCCGCTTAAAGTTTTTCATTACCTACCAATGTTGTTATCCCTAGTCAACCCATTTAAGCCTCGAGCCTTTCTCATTTGATAACCATATTACAAGCCTTTGCCCGTTTTGTCGTGACCCTCTCTTGGCACCCGAACTTTTCTTAACACTCTTGTAAAATAATTGGATAAAAATATAAGTTTGAAGGAGAGACGAGGAACTTGAAAAGGTATCAAGGCAAAAAAAGAGAAAATAAATGATGAGAAGGAAAGGCAAGAAAGGAAAGAACAAAAAGAAAAATACAAAAAGAAAGTGTATAAGTGAAAAAGTTTAAGGGATTCAAAGAAAAGTAATGATACAAAGCATGGAGAAATCAAGGAGGGAGAAAATAAATGTCATGATCAAGAAAGAGTAATGTTAAGTCTCTCTAGTTCCCCAAGGAAAAGAAAGTGCTTCAAGGAATTAGCGAAGCACGAGCCGAGAATTAAAAAAATGGAGTGCTTAAGGAAAGGAGAACCCACTCAGCCATAGTGTATCCAACCTTGGTCCAAAAGCCTTCATTATATCCCGAAAAAGCCCTACGTGATTTCAAGCCGAGTGAGCTTATATTAGTGGCGATCTACATGATAGGAAAGCCTATGGTACTTGGAAGCCGTACTTGAGACATTCTCTTGAGAGAGATGAGTGAACCTTTCACAAATCTTTGGATTGAGTGCTAAAATTCTTAAGTGAGCTAGGCAAATGGAGAGTAGAGGAGGAGGAGTTTGGGATCCACAATGACCTATATGAAAGAGCGAGCTTCTTTGATGAATAAAGTCAACTCTTGATGCTCAAGTATCACATTAGAACTACATATGCATAAAAGTTTAACTGGTTAGCTTGTTGATAATACATAAGTAGTGTGGGTAATTGTTGATCCCAATTGTTGTGTGAATGACTCACTTTTGATTGGCTGGAATGGCCCTTAACTTGTGGAGGTGGAAACTATTTTATTTGCTTGAGAACAATTAAAAGGTATTGGTGGTGAGTTAAAATTTTAATGGTGGTTGGAAGATACAATGTAATTTCATATAAAAGTTTTATATACATAGAATCTAAAAATTATATATGCACTATTATATTTAGATAGTTATATTTTGTATAATAATTTTGTTACAAAAATTGTATATAGACTGTTATACAATGTATAATATATATATACACACACACATACTATCACATTTGTATAAATTTTGTATATAAAGTATATTATATATTTTTCAGTGTATATTATAAAAGTTATATTCAAACTGAAGTTGTGTACATACACGATAATTTTATTACAGTTTTGTATAAAGTTGTATTTTTATTTTTTTGCAATGTATAAATATCCTATGTTTGCAAGTATATCCTTAGTGTATATTGAGTTTATTTCGAGTGTGCTTGTGTATCTAAAGTGCATATTGCACATATCCCGAGTGTATTTTTGTATCATGAGTGTATAATTTGTCCATTGGGTATAATTTTTCACAATGTACCAAAAATGGCTATAACTTATCAATAAATTGGGTCTAAAGGCTTTTTCGGGTCAATGAAAAAAATATGGGTTATTAAAATGCAGGAGCTCCTAAAATTTTTAATAACCCATATTTTTTTCATTGACCCGAAAAAGCCTTTAGACCCAATTTATTGATAAGTTATAGCCATTTTTCTATTAAAAATGCATGGGGCCTATTTGATCACCCGTTTTTAACTTATACCCATTTTATTTTTTCATTTGCATCCGTACCCATATTTTTGTTAAAAGTATTTTAAAAAGATAATTTTGCCCTTCTTTAATAAAAGACTCACTACAACATTTTGCATATGTAGCTACAAAATACATTATAACTAAATATAAAATTTTCCGTAGCTAAACACTTTAGCCACAATATTATTTTTCGTAGCATCCGTAGCAAAATGTAGCGTAGCTAAAAGTTAGCTACAGACTTTATATGATCTGTGGCTAAGGACTAATACTTATTGCTACGAATGTTTTATGCGTTGTAGCTATATTGATAATACTTTTTTGCTACGAAATATATAACAACAACAACAACAACAACAACAATCCAGTATAATCCCATTAGTGAGGTCTGGGGAGGGTAGTTTGTACGCAGACCTTACCCCTACCCTGGGGTAGAGAGACTGTTTCCGATAGATCCTCGGCTCCCTCCCTTCAAGAACTCCCCACCTTGCTCTTGGGGTGACTCGAACTCACAACCTCTTGGTTGGAAGTGGAGGGTGCTTACCACTAAAGCAACCCACTCTTAGCAAATAATATTAGTCCTTTGCCAAGGCAAATAAACTATATAGCAATTTTTATATTGTGCTACAAGGTATTTTACTGTGGCAAAAGACTTAATTTGTTTGCCACGAAAATTCAAATCTTGCGGCTATTTTTGTATTTTAGTTTCATGGCAATAGTATGTTTTTCAGCTACAAGTTCAAAAATTCATAGCTATGAATTGAAGTATTTGCCACAAATATTTAGGTAGCTAAGAATCCATTCTCTTGCCATGAAATATATAAAATTATAGCTAAAGATTTCTTCATTTGCTACAAAAAGTGAGAACGTATAACCATATTTTTGTTACGTGATAATTATATATATATAGCCACGAATTCAAACTTTTATTGCCACAAATTAAAGAATTTGCTACAAGAATAACTAGTCAAAATAATTTTCATAATAGCTAAAATTCCAAATATTTTAGATTCCAAAACAAATTCAAAGTTACACATAAGCTTTTAATAACGTAGCTAAGGATAAAAAGAATTTATATTCCACAATAGGTTTCAAGTTACACATAATTGTAAATTTCGAAGCATTCACGATGCACAATTTTTCTAGGACACCGTCTTCTTCTTTCATTCCTCCTCGGGTCTTTAACTGCACCTTATCTTGGTTTTAACTTGTCATTGCTCTAACTCCACCAATCTACATGAAAAAATATTTTTAACACCACGAAGCAAAAATAATTGATCATATATGTTTTTAACAAGTACAACTGAGTTGAAAGTTCAATTAGTAAAAATATTGATAGAATTTCAAGCAGACAAAAAATATGTATTGATTTTACAAGAATTTCTAATAGATAACAAAAGAAAAATATACAAAGCAACAAAAGAAGTTAAAAAAAAAAATTTGAACACTTTTTAAACAACTTAAATTATCTTCATCCGAATTTTGAAATATTGCTTCTGTTCAAATTATCAATCACTACTTATCAAAAATAAGATACAATATCTATCAAATTGCTGGAATAGTCCGCAAAATTGTACCCAAAAATCCAAGTGAAGTAGGTATAAAAAGATTTACAAGCCCTAAAATATAGAGATATGAGCTTACCTCTTCTGCCCGACTGCCCGAGAATAGAGAAGCGATTGGGTTCTCTCTCGCTCTTCTTTGTCATTCTCGATCTTCTTAATTTAGCCTTGGTTAAAGAATGAAATAGAAAAGTGGGGAAGGGGAGGTGGCAGCGGGAGAGAAAGGAGGTCAGAGTGTAGTTTAGGTTTTAGGGATTTTTGCTTTGGGCCTTTGTCGTTTCTTTACTTGTTGTTATACTATAGATTTTTACTTTCTTTTAATTTTTAATAAGACACGTAATACATTAAATGCAAAAAATGTGAGTGCTAACGAATATAAGTAATAAAAACAACTACCAAAAACCAAAAGGAATAATATTATAAATACTTAATTTATAATAAGTAACATAGAAACAATAAACTATTTAAATAAAATGAAGGTATTCTAATTTACCTTTTTCTTTAAAGCTTCTTTTGTACTATTTGATATTCTTAGTTTGCTATATTCTCCTATTTCAGTTATATTAATTTTAAAAAATATTAGTGCTTAATTAGATTTATGATAGTAATTATAGCTATTCTAACAAATGGAGTTAAATGCGTTGGTAGAGGAATCTTTACATCGAAACTTCAGAAAGAAAAAGAATGAAGTGAGTTATCAAAATAACATTAGACCATTAATTATGCATATTCAAATTGAATACAATTAGCGATCAATGTAAATAGATACAAGCACAAAGTTAATATTTATTTAAGTTATATTAGAAAATCACAAGTAATACTTTGTTTAGTATGAATAATGATATACTAATTAATTTTTTTAATAAACTCCTTTATCAACCATATTAAATTATCAGCATTTTGAAATAGAACCTAATAATATTGAAATTATTTAAGTTTATAAAATATCGAATAATAGTCGTAAAAGAGACACAGCCCCTTCTTGCATATTAATTATATTAAATTCTTAATTCTTTGATTCGGTGTACAATATAAATAATTTGTTGTACAATGTAATTGGTATAAAATTATATTTGTTTAAATTCGATGTTGTAATTAGGCATGCACACAATAATGGTATTTTTTTTCTCTTTTAAATCCCTTGCAAATTAGGAGGATCTATAGTGTCTCCACACTTCTCCTCCAGCGTGACTCAAACCCAGGACCTAAACACTTATAAACTTTACTATATTTTATGAAAATCTTACGATTACAGCTCTTATGAGGTATATCCATAACTAAGTACATCAAAACATACTTATTAAAAGAAAAATTAAATTATAAATATAAAATTTTTATGTATTTACTATCATGAAACTTACAAAGAAAATAAATATTTTTGTCGAAAAGTTGTATTCACCCAATTGACGAAGGAATATAATAAATATATTTTGAAACATATATCTTTCGAAACTCATAATATGAATATCTCATTTTTATTTTAGTTTGTTTATTTATTCATCTGCTTCAAAGTTATTTTAAATTTACTTAGTTGGATAAAATTTCATTTGTGTAATATTTTTATTATATAGGAGGTTTAAATATTTATATAAAAAAATAAGAATAACATCACTATATGTAAGAGCTTCGACAGATAAATCGATTATGCAAAATACACAAAATTTCTAGTCTTCTAAATAAATAATTTGTATTAATTTTCTATTTAAGAATTTCAAGAGATACATATTTCAAAAAATATTTATTAATTTTCTAATCAATGACATTAATAAATATTTTCAAAAAATATATTTCTTCTCTTCTTAAAATATCATAAAAAATAAGTACATAAAAAATTATTTATAATTATAATTTATCATTTAACATTATATTTTTAAAAAAAGTAGTTACAGATATACCTCATAGAGGGTGTAAGTGTAGAATTTCAATAATATATGGGATATAAGTTTAAATTTAAAATACAACGGATATATCTGAAATTGATTAATACTATAGGAGTATTTTGTGTAACTAACTGAAAAACTTAATATGAATAATAATGTTAGCGGCAGAAAGTTCTATTTCTAATTTTTTTGCTATTAGTTAGCATAAAAACCAACAATAAATTTTGTTTTTCACTTTAGAATCGTTGCTATTTTACTATATGTTTTTTTATTATAGTTTTTATACTGTTTAGATTCAATTTTAAGACTGAAGATTATTTTTCATCCATTTTAATTTTTGTTATTTTTAAATTAAATTAATTTTTTAATTTTATATATATATATATATATATATATATATA